CACCATGTCCATAGGGACACGGGTTCTGGGGTGCCTGAGGCGTCGTACGGCATGCACAGGGTATCCCTGAGTGCGGATGTCGGTCTTCGCCTTGTAGACATTCTTGCCTATGCTCGGCTGCATAGGCAAGAAAACGTTTCCACATAGCGGGGCATTCTTTGTGTACGAACTCCTCGAAAAGGGAACCCATCGCGACGTAAGTGCCTTTGGGGCTTGTAGCCCCGCCGGCATGTGTGAGCTAAATAAGCCTCCCCACCTTGCGGCAGTTAGGAGGAGTGTGCCTTAAAATAACAACTAATTAACCTGTGCTTTAGGTGCGCTAGGGTGAATACCTAGCTGTCACCTATTGCAACAAGCACACAGTTAATAAATGAAACAATGCCGCCTCTGAGGCGAGAAGTGTGTATAGGATTCTCATTACAAAACAGGAACCTGCCTACGAGCATAACACTACACTAACACTAAACTACTGCACTATTTGCACAAGATTAAAATTGCAACCGAAGTTGCGAGTAGCGTCTAATTCGGGTGGCATGTGCCCTCCGTGTTAGAGAGAGGTCCGTTCCGTACGAGAGCAACGAAGCGGAATTGCATTACGGCGTTGACGCGCTTATGTTAAGCATCCGATTGTTAAATATTTATGCTGTACGCATGTATGTATCTGAAATACACATTAAAAAAATATTAATAACTTATAAGTAATTAATACATTAACAATAAATAATTAAATTATTAGGTACTCAACGTCCCTAAACTCTTTACCTTTGATAATCTAATGGGCGATTCTATGAGTGGAACTTTTTTAAGAACTTTAATAAAACGGCATTGTTTCATAAAATGGCCTGAAGAAAAATTTACCATTTCATAAAACCATTTTTAAAAATATGCGTCTACTGAGACGTTTAATTGAATTTCCCTGTTTCTATCAATTTTCTAAAGAACGAGAGATTTATATAGCCCTTCACCTCATCTTGTTATTAATTGAGGGTGAATAAGGACTAAGTATAATTAATTACCAAGGTGTCAAAGCCACTGGGCTAACAGCAGACTACACGTCACAAAAAAATTACTTACGATGAGTCCTTTTATGTCGAACATTTCAGTAAATATTATTAGATGTGCATATTGGATCAAGTCCAATGTGGTCTTGCTCTAATTGTCAACAAAACTGTCACCAAAAAGTTCTATCTGTTCAGCTTCAACATTAACGCTCGTCAAAGCTAAACAGCGTACGTAGGTACAGGTATGTTTTTCTATTGTTACCTACATCTAAAAGACCAACTATTTGTCTATCACCCAAAAGTTAAAGAAAAAAACCCAATGTTTCTTAGCACGTAAGGTTTTCAACAAAGAGAGTATATTCCTTTAAACCTAAGGTTCCAATCATAAATGTAAAGTAATCATAGAATTTTTATAACAAGTGACAATATGAACATGCCACACTAGTTACATGTATTGAAAATGCTTATTGAAAATTAAGTCATTATCAAAATAAAATTATTTTTAAGCCTAAAAAATTATTAATTAAAGTAGGCTACAGTAAAGTAAACAAATGTCCGTGAAAGGTGAAACTCAAATTAATCGTCAAGTAAAATTAAACCTTTTTACAATTTAATTAAAATCTTATAACAATACAATACTAGGTTTTAACGAATTTAAACTTTAATAATTATAAATCTAAACATTAACGATTGAGAAATTGTTTCCCTAAATTATTTCCCTTCTGTTTTGCTTGCTACAAACTGTAACAAAATACCCCGTTGTATCGCTTTTTAGTCAGTTAATATTTTTTTGTTGTTGTGTTACAATTGTTAGTTCATTTTCAAATTTTATTTTTGTTATCTTTAAACAATAATTTAAACGTTAAAAAAGAATTACGGAGGAGATTCAATGAAGTTATAAGTAGGTAGCTACTGCGGGAAGAGATGGGTTATTACTACTTAATAATTATTATAAGTACCGAACTAGTTTATTAAAATAAACGAGACGTTTTTGAGAGGTAAGCCTCTCCAAAAACCTTTCATTATAAAAACTGAAGTTACTAATAGGAAACTTATCCTTAAATTATAATAATCCAGACATATTTTCGGACTGGGCTTCCGTCTTAGACTACCACTCTATAATTTTTGAGAGCGGCTGTGTTGTTTGTTTTAATACCGCGAAGCAGCAATTACAATCTTCCAAAAGGTCTTCTATTTAAGTTTTTAATGTCAATCTCTCAATAAGGTTACGACCAAAGAGTACTTTTGTATATCTGAAATTGTATCTGGTTACGACTTGCAACTTCCATAATATGAACAGGGATAGGTTAGGATAGATTAGGTAGGATTTTGTATTTTCCATAACACTACGATTCCTATAAGCCAGAATGTAAAAAACCAAATCTCCAAAGTCAGTTAGAGGGTCAAAAGTGGTCTATGTTGCCTGTACAGACTTAAACATTTTTTACCATCAAAAAGCACGAGTGTCACTTTGACTCGAACGCAGATCACCTTCTACTCCGTCTAATGAGGCGGATAGAAGAATCAACGGATAAAAGAAAGAGGAGATAAATGTATCTCCTCACTTTCAATATCTTTGCAAAATCCATCACAAGAACCTTCGCTCGGCACATAGTCGTATTCTCTCCAGTGTCCTTCTCATCTTACTCGTTTCATGCACTCGTCTTTCTTTATAATATAGTCTATTCTTTTGTAGAATACCCTACCTTTTGAAATCAGAGCAGTATTACTCTGCATTTAAAAGATAAACTCGCGAGCACTTCCTTAAAACATTGTCAGGGGATTTGTTTGCAGTTATTTTAAAATTCTTACGATTGCTTTTTTAATTTGTAATAAATCACATACCTAACTTTTCTGGACCAACCCAAGGTTGACTGGGAGATAATGCTGATGGCATTAAGTCCGCCTGTGTACATAGATGTATTTGCATGAAGAATAAATGAATAAATAACAAAATAAATCCAGTCTGAACAGCTTAGGCAAATACTACATAAAGAGTAATATAAGATATGAAAGATCTACCTTAATTTTCAAACATCATACAGTAACATGTTTTCAATTTCATCCCTAGTCAGTGCTACTTACATTACGTACTGTATTATAGTGTATAAAATTATGGCACCTATTAATAAAACATATGTAAAAATTTTACATAACGATGAAATTATTTAACTATTGTCCAAAATTTAAATGTGTAAACCACAATCTTGATGTGAGGAAATTAAGAGATATTATAAAAGTTAATTAAATTATATGTGAAGAATAGAAATAGTAAAAGAAGGATAAATATACTGTTTTCTTTTATTAACTGAATATGGTTGTAATTTTAACTTACTTTGAATTTGTTTTTTGAATTTGATTCTGTCTGAGTAGTCTGTCCCCTGACCATGAATGCTGCAAGGGGTTTGAAACTTAGGGGGTTGTTGGGAAATAAAATTAAAAATAAATCCGTAAAATTTAGTTTTATTTATAATATGATTCTATTGACAATATTAATTATTCTCGTTCTGATATATGTATAATGTGCATAATATAAGTAAATTACAAAACAGGCTATAAGAACCACAAATAGAAAACAGTTAAAACATTAAAATTTAAGATAATTTATTCTTGTTTTTGAAAAATTACATTCACTGGATTTCAGAATGTTATATTTAAGTAGAAGCAAATGTCCACAGTGGTTTTTAGGTCAACATTTCTATCCAATCTTCCATGATGATGATTCGAAAACGAAATTTATTACATTTACTTTATTGGTTTAACTCTGCATTTTATTATAAAGGCCTAAACCTTTTTAATCATATGCAGAGATAAAAACGCTTAAACAATAGCTTTAATAAAAGCTTAAATAGCAACAAATCGAACAGGTAAATCTAAACTCATATTCCTATAAAATAAACCATTCATTCCAACCTTAGGATTAAAATACCTTCTTAATACTTCCCTGACTTCTGCAACTGTTATTGCATGGACTCCCTCATAACCAGATTTAATATATACTGCATTATTTAAGCTCACAGGGTTACAGAAATGACCTCCTTCGAATTTACTAAGAGGATCTCCATTTTTCTTTTGAGCATCCTGCCGTATAAAGAAAACAGCATCAACAATCTCGGCAACTGTCTCATAAGCCAAAAAACATAACACCTCCAATGCAGACACTGTAATCTTCAGCTCTTTTGATGGATTTAGCCACTTTTCCAACTTGACAAAACCCTTGCCCAATCCATAACCGGATCTGAATGAACTGCATCTAGCTTTATGATAAGCTTCATATTTCTCAAAGGACATTGATTCTGTTATTTTAGCTGCTCTTAATTTTCTTAAATAGTCAATGGCATCGAATTTTATCTGACCGATCTCATCACAATCATCAAATTCTTTTATGATGTCTATATGGGTTCTACGCTTTTTAATAGAGGGTTCCTTCTCATCATCAAGGATTAAGCCCGGCATTATAGATTCCGTAGTAGCCACTTGGCGACTTTTTTCTATTTGATCCAACTTCAACTGATAGTCATGCAAACGTTTCAGTTTGTATTTATTTTTTCGCATTACATAAATAATATCGTAGTTTGATATTGCTTTTCCTCCACGCTTATTTAAATGCTTTAGAGCTTCCTGAATCATTGACCTTAGCTGTTGTAGAACTATACTTTCTACCAATACGACTGTTGCAGCATTGGGGTTAGGATTATCACCAAAACCATGCATCATGTTAGATATTTCCTTTTGAAAGTTGGTGACTTCACCAGTGGCGTCAATGGTAAAGTACGATACCATTGTGATGATATTTTTTTTTATAAAACAAACAGGATATTGCAAATTGAAGTTTTTTAACGCCGATTTAAGGTCATTGAATGATTTACTCTATAGTGTTACTAGTGAATACTTTATAGTGTTTCAATTATATCTCTCGGCAGTCGTAAACGTAGTGGTTAAATTAAATTATGTTTGGGCAGTCGGCGACACTCTCAAACATAACATTAACGTAAACGAATGATCAGAGTAAGTTTGTTTATACTGAACTGAAAACTGAAAGTAATGTATGGTAGTATTATATTCTCTTTGCTCTAAAAAACTTAAAAAATTGAAATCAAACAGCAACAATAATTTATTTTAGATTATTTAGATTGAGTGAGGTAGGGGTGCCGAAAAAATGACGATATATCGATAACTCAATATTTAAAAATATATCGATATTTTTGGGCGATACCGATATGTTTTGATCCGATATATCGATATAAAAAATTGCATATCGAAATCGTATCAAAAACGATATTTTTATTCAAACTTATTCAAAGCCGTAAAAGATACAAATAAACGAAAGAAACCGTGTTCTATTACTAATCTTGTAGTACTATTTATACTACAATTTGATGCTTCGTACTTTATTTATACTATCCATATCTTAGGTACAACTTGGTATAGATGTGTTACAAATCATTAATATTAAACTACATATAATGTTAATTTATAAATAGCATGCAAAATATTAATGGGATCAACTAAAGTTACTTTAATTTAATATGTAAATAAAGGTAACAAAAATTTAATTATAATCATATTCTCAATAATTAAATGCCATATATTATAATATCGAGTTTTCATAAAAAAATCATTTGACGTCACAAAATTATTATCATTTAACCACATAAGTAACTTCTTTAAATTGTCGTTCAGCATTTTCATGTCAATCAAACAACTGTTACTAAATTATGTTGATCTACGCCTGTTTTTTAGGACAAGTCTCAGCGGTTTTCTTATTGAACCATTATTAACTTCGTTCTAAACAATTCTATATGTTTTTTTCACAAAGTTACATGTTTTTTAATTAGTTACTTTTTAATTAGTTTCAGGGCTAAAGAAACTGATTTATCTAACTAAATAAGCTGTTTGTTTTTTTCCATATGAAGGTATTGATAAATAATATACCTAGAAATTTATATTTATAAAAGAAATTTGATTAAAATTAATAAATAATTAACGTTTTATTAAAATTTCTCATTAATTTAAATATTTCTCAATTTGGTATAAAAACTATTATTACTTATTATTGAATCAGACTCTACTATATACATTATTTTTTTAAAACTAAAAATTTAACCGATATATTGGTATATCGATATTTTTTTTCGATATATCGAGGCCGATATTGATATTTTTATAAATACCGTTTTATCGATTTTTTTTTCGAATTTCATCATCCATAGTTTTGTCAAATTTGGGTTCTTATGATAATCGATTTGTATCGAATTATCTAATTAGTAAGAATCGATTTCATTTTAAAAATTAATTCATCTTTTTTATCTTCTGCTTGGAATCGATTTTCATTTTAAAAATTGTTTCATCTTTTTTATCTTCTGCTTGGAATTTAAGGGCATCTACTTATTAGTGGGCTCAAATCGCTGCAACGACAAATAACGTGTCGAGAGGTCGAGGAGCCAGTTTTTCTTTAGCACCGCTACGTGTTGACCCAGTAGTGGATTTAAGCTAAGGCAGCTTAGACCCATGAGGCCCGGGCGTAGGGTGGCAAACTTTTTCACCGACCGGGTTCCCGCCTTAAAGTGGTGAAGGGGCATAATAGCGGTGGCTTGGTCACCTATGCACTTTACACCTTGGTCACTTGATGCTTGCTAGAGGGTGCAGGGGAATGTTCCAGCGCGCCTTAACTAGAGCAAAGGGGAGTTACTCCCAGGACGGCGGGGGTGACTCCGAGGGGGCTGCTGATGCCGCCAGCGCTGGCAGGATCACGGATGTGTGCGAAACCATTTTCCTGTGGCCCTGCCGATATGCGCCTAGGTGGAATATCGTGGGGGTTTTAGTCGGTGCAAGTCCGACATTACCTGTCCTTGACCCCGCGAGGGCGGATATGCGTACTCCTACGTAAACAAAATAACCATTTTTTTATATCGAAATTATAGATCAAAAAACAAAACCGACTGCAAATATCTCGCTCTGTATTCATTTTATAATTGATTTTCAGGAGTTCCCTAAGTATCTCCGGAGCACAAGATCCAATAAAATTAATATGGGTCCACATAGGAAGCACCAGCTTTCAAAGAATCATCAAAATCGGTTTTTAATTCACTCAGTCAAAAGTTCTAACCCTAAAAACCCGTGAATTATTTATTCCTATGTTTGTTAAAACATAGGAAAAATAACAATCGCATTGAGAACCTCCTCATTTTGAAGTCTGTTAAAAAAAAACAAAATTTTTAAGATGACTAAAACTAAAATTCGATTGAGTTTTCTGTAAACTGCAACAAACTTTAAAGTTTATTTTCTTGCGCTCTTATAATAGGTATGTATTTATTTACAAAAAAGTATGTTTAAGTATGCTTATCAGTTATCTAGTACCCATAGTACAAGCGTAGTTTGGGACTAGAAAACGTTTTGTAAACATGTGTCCTGAAATATTTATTTATTTTGTTTAACTTTCACTCTATTAAATAATGGGGAGAACTTATGTTAATAATTTGGAGCAGGCTTGCCTAATCATGCACCTTGACAGTTTGTTTACAATAAGTACACGAGCAGCACTCGCACATATCACGCAATCAGAGACAGTTTTAGCGCGTCGTTGGTGCATTGCTCTATCTAGACAAGTATTTATAATCAAAGAATACAAGGTTTTTTGGGGAGTTATTGGTGAAAATTACTTTTATTGTTATTTAGGGTATTTAACCTTGATTTTAGTATTTTTTAAGTAGTATAATGTAACAAGTGAAGAATATATCAATATTTATTAAATTATCAATATTATATATATACATATATTTATGTACATATTATATACATTTATATATATATATATATATATATATATATATATATATACATATAATATTCGAATTTGAAAAAATATATCGGTTTTTTTTATCCAATATTTACCATATTAATAGCGTTTTTAACACGATTGTCGATATTTAGAAATATATTGATATTTGAAAAACTATCACTATCGGCCTGGCTATATCGAAGAGAAAATATCAATATATTACAATTATTATCAAAAGAAATGTTGAATCAAAGAAAAATGTCGATGTATCGATATTTTTTCTTTAGGACCTGATTTACAAAAAAAAAAGTATGTCGAGTATTAAATATTTGACACCGGACTCTGTTCCACATTTAAATTGGAAAAAATATCGGTTTTTGATACGATTTTGACATTGAATATTTTGTATCGATATATCGGATCGAAATATATCGGCTATAAATAGCTATAAAAAAAATAATAAATGCCGTGCGAGGTTCAGGCTAACCCGAGGTTCTGGCCCCCTAGCGCCCGGCCACCTCATGCCCGTCGGATCTGTAAAGGCCCCTAAGGCCAACAGTGGCTCATCCAGCCAAAAAAAAAATATCGATATTTTTTCGACATCCCTAATGTCACACAGTCACATTGTAATTTGTATAATTCTATTCCTATGATTTGTATTTGTATGTTGTATCATGTTGTATATTGTGTATGTGTAATACTAATAATGGTGTAATGCACTTTAAAAATGAATCATTCAACTTAAAATTACGGGCGAACCCTCCAATAGACCAATGGGGTGACTATTAGCTAGTAATTGCACAGAACAGAGTACATTTATATGTATTAGAAATTTATTTTTAGTTTAGAATTAGTTGATAGGAAAGGTATTAATTTCCTACGTTATTGACCTGTAGTCAATATTGAAAAAATGGCTTTTGCAAGTATTTTATGGAATATTCGCCACATATCTTACTCATTTAAACATCAATTTCGATTCGCCTCATGTTGGTCCTGCGGTCAGAACACAAATAGTTTAATAGTGAGTTTGTTCTGTTCAAATTGCAATGCTCTACAACAGCCTAGAAATAATGAAAACTATTTTAAAATTTTGGGCATAAATGAGACCTACGATTTAGATGAGAATGACCTGGCTAGAAAATTTAAAGAGCTCCAAAAATATCTTCATCCCGATAAATTTGCAAACAAGTGAGTATATAATAATTACATAAGTTTTTAGTCAGATCTTGTATGCCTTAAGTCATATTAAGGAAATTACATTCAATAACTGAAAATAAAATAGTTATATTTTTAAGTCTAACTCTAATGTTATTGGAAGTTTTTCTTAAATGTTTATATTTATAATTACAGAGGTAAAGAAGAACAAGAAATTTCAGAAAAATATTCATCTTTAGTAAATGAAGCATATAAAACTCTGTTACAACCACTAACAAGAGGTAAATATAAAATTCTGTACCATGAATATTGAGAGATGATACAATTAAATTTTTACTTTGGTTGAAAATTCGCATTGAAGAGTTTTATAAGTATGTATTTATCAAAATGTACTTTTTATACACTTAAATAAGTTGAAGTGTATAAAAATAAATGAAATAAAATTAAGAAAGTGAATGCAGTCTCACATACATATCATTTTTATACATAATATATGACTTAAAATTGTTCACTCTTCCTTACTTACTTAATTTTTTTATGTAACCTTACACATATTATGTGTGTATACACTGATGGACCTTTTTCTGTTTTAAAAAAAATATTTACACCCAAAGAAAATTTTATGTTTTGAGCCGCTTGCTGTTCACAAATTGGGACAGGAATATTTGCATATAAGAGACATGAGAATATGGTTCTCAATAGTCAACACCACTTGGTTTGAATTTGCGATGTTTAGACTTATAAATGAATTACTTCTGAATTGCAATGACTTTTACGTAAATACATACATATTACACTTAAAAAAACTGTTAATTCTATTGAAATTTACCGATAACATCTATTTATTTTCAGGCATATACATGTTGCAACTAAGGGGTGAGAGTTTTTCAGAAAAGACAGATGTTGACCAACAATTTCTTATGGAGATAATGGAAAAAAATGAGGAGGTGGAAAGGGCAGTTACAGAAAAAGATATAATGGCTTTGAACAGTGAAAACAAATTAATCATAAAGGATTTGCAGAGAAAAGTATCAGAGGCTTTTTTTGAAGGTGATTTAAATAAAGTCAGCAAATTATTGAGCCACATGAAGTATTATACAAGCATTGACACCCAAATACAAGGTTTAATTCGCAATAAAGGCATTATAAGATGAAACTTCTATGTGACAATGTTATGTTATTGTTATGTTTTAAAAAAAATGTAAATATACTTTACTGAACTTGTTGTGATATAAAATAATATTATAATGCATTAAAAAGATATTTATTACATTCCCATGGACTCTTTCTTCTTTTCTCTTCTCTTGGTGATTCTCATCTAAATCCCTTTGCTTATAAATACAAAAATTCTCTGTATTTAGCAATATAACCATGACTGTCTTCTATCTCGACATATGAAACTGATGCCAGGATGAGGATAATGAATTTTGTTTCAAATTTAATTACTGCACTTACTGAGAATGTAAAATGTAAGCATAATAATTGTATACTTATTGCACTTATATACTGTGTAGTTTTTATTCTAATAATGAATTTGTTACTTAATACAGCTATTATTAATTCCTTAAACATTTTATATGGTTGCATACTCAGATGTTAGACTACAATAGATCTTGGTCTCAGAGATTGTTTGGACTGATTTGTTCATATGATTTTTGGTTTTTTTCCCTCGTTTGGATCACCACAGGATCATAATATTAAAAAGATATTTGATTATGCCGATTGTAAGAATCAAGGGACGTTTCTTAGGACGAACGAAATCTTAAAATGAACCCTTAAGCGTCCTTTTTAAATGTCGGTCTGTCGCCCATGTTCTCAAGCACTGGTTACAGGATTTATGTCTAAAAAATGTTTTTTTAACTCCAATGCACATACTTGGAGTATGCATTGGAATGCATCCGACAGGACGACCACGTCCAGGACCAGACTCAGATGACTACGTCACCTTTGTTGGTTTTAAGGGCATTCAATGGCGACTCACTGCGACTTATCTCGCAGCCTAGTTTCGCTGTTGGATACTACTATCCACCAAACTAGCGACAGGATCGAAGTCCAATATATTTTGGCAGCGTGACATACAAGTTTGAATAACATCGGATGTGTATTTAACACCAGAAGATGTTTACATCTGGCGATGTTAGTAAAGACATCTCAGAGTTTAATCCTGCTTGAAGTAAAGTCGCCTTTGTTTATTCTATACGATGTGTTTTAACTGTGGTAGGGCCACGAAACAATCTTCCCTGTTTCACGAATGGGAAGGTCCTTCCGGTGAAGTGTCACGAACTCAGAAGACCGGCGTGAAGTGGAAGTTCTTCTTCTTCGTTATCCACCCTCACCAGTCAATGGTGAGGGTGGATAACGAGGCCCACTTTATTAAAAGGTGGCAACGCATCCGTAATCCTACGTTGTAAATATCTATGGGTAGTAAAGTAAAGTAACAGCCTATAAATGTCCCACTGCTGGGCAGAAGCCTCCTCTTTACAGAAAGTATTAGGGCATAGACCACCACGCGGCCCCACTGCTGTTTGGTGGAATTAACATATTACTTCAAAGATATGTGCAGTCCAGTTTTTTTTGTTATTATTTCGAAAATATCCAGGTTTCCTCACGATGTTTTTCTTCACCGTTGAGCACGTGATAAGTCAGCACTTAAAATTAACAATGTCTTTGGTGCCGGCTCCGGGGATCGAACTCAGGTTACTCAAGTATATTAAATTTAAGGTGAGCGCCTGGACACTGAGCCGCCATAGGCTACCAACTTTTTACCAGCTAACGGCTAACATTTTTTTCAGATCACTTGCCATCTTCTTAGATTAGAACAAAAAATAGTTTACTTCATGTCTACACTGCGCGAGCCCAAATAAGTTTAGACTCCAGACAATGCTCGCGTTGGCAAAATGAGGTTCGATTCCCCGATGTCCATATTTGCTTCTTTGATTTCTAGGATAGTGAAGACGACTCCGGTGTATGATCACTAAATTCTGTGGAAAAAAAGAAAGCACACTTGCTTATTTCATGTTTTGGCAATGTCCAAAGAATCGGTAACAAGAAACACATACAGCTAAGAACACGAACGAAACGTGTTTATTGGAGCTTCTTTATATACAAAATAAAAATGAATAAAAAGCGCTTTCAAAATCTTTCGAGTTGCAAGCAGCAATGGAAATTTTATAGGATATGCCCGTTTATTTTTATAAGTTGTTATATAATTACTCCCATAAAATTACACATAATATATAACAATACGAATTTTCTGAAAGGAGACTGACAGGCACAGTCACGCATGCTCGGTCTAACGGCATTTTAATTATTGTTTAAACACTTCGATGAGAAGTTAATATTAGGAACTCGAAACAATCTATTCTCGAGTAATTCTTCATATGATTGATGTTCGTACATTCTACATCATATTAGTAATTTGCATTTTACCGTATAAGATCATGATCAAGACAATTTGATACTTTGTCTGCAGATATTAAAATAAGAAAGTACATAGGTAGGTAGATGGAACGAATAGTAATAAATTCACAGTAAATATTGCTTAAATATGTTACTAAATCCCAATTGTTAAAAAATCTCTATATTTATAAAAATCAATCGCTCAATGTGTTGCTAAGCGCCAATCTCGATAACAGCTGAACCGAATTCGCTAATTCTTTTTTTATAATGTTCCTTGAAGTTACGAAGAGAAAAATTATAAAAAATTGCCTGAAAAAGTCTAAAAACACTTTTCTATACTTTCATACAAAAGATTCGAAATAATACTTAAAAGTCAATTTGAACTTTAATACTATACCATAAAGTTTAATTGTTAGGAGAGGGGTTCTGGGAGGGCAAAACAAGTGAGTGACTGTGTAAAATGTCACTTGAAATGTAAACGTCTCTTTGCTGTGCATAACTACATAGTATAAAACAAAGTCGGCCCGTTGTCTGTCTTAGATATTTAAAACTACGCAACGGATCTTGATGCGGTTTTTTTTATTGCATTGCACCTGTGCGAAGCCGGGGCTGGCCGCAAGTTTTTAATATATTTTTCGTAAACCTACGATAATTTGTTTTTATGAGTTGTTGTTGATTAAAACTAAAAATAAACGCGATAAATCCGTATACATAGTTTCATTTAGTAATGTGTTAGTAAATACAAGAAAATTTTTTCTTGTTTCAATAGCACGTAAGAAATTTTTGGTATGAATCAATAATTATCGCTATTCCAATCATATTCCCGAAGAAGATGGCATTTCACTATTAATATTTTATTCATGGACAGCTAAAAAATATTGGTCTAGCAACCACTTTATGACCAGAGTTCACACGTTCGAATCAATAAGTCCATGAATATAATAAGCGTAGGCAGTATAGTACTGTAATGAAAATAAGCAGAAAAAGCTTAAGATTTTTTTTAAATTACATTAATGTCTTTAAAAACTTAATAAACCTCTACTCTTTTTTATAAGCTCCGCGTATCTGTTTTGTGACCAATTCCACGCCGTAACATGTTAAATGAACATACAATGTTACAAGTTGTTGCTGGAATAGTTAAAACAAACTTTATTACCTTGCATACTGCCGGCTAAAACGAGATGGATTGAGCAATCAATGTGAGAACGTTCATTTAAAGCCGCATCATTTCTTCATTCGTCTTCAACACTTCACGTGGCAGTCCTGGTCCTGTATGTCCTCTGCCATAGCTAAGAGTGGTGCATAATTGTAAATGATTTTTAGTGTGTTGAAGAAAATCGACTTCATTCGATACCGAGGGTTGGGTATGCCCTGATACCCTCTGTACAGAAGAGGCGTTTACCCAGCAGTGAGACATGTATAGGCTGTTACTTTAATTTACTTTTATGTGTAATACAAACTTTCTTCAAATAAATTGTTAATTTCTCAGATATGTGAACGGATTTTATCATAAATAAATAATTAAAAATCGAAATATGTGTATTTTGTAGTGTTATTTAGTTAATAATTGCCATAACATAAAATTAAACCCTATTAACTATTCGTTACTTATTTATTATACATTTTTATAATAATAATTAATTTAAACAAATCAATTTACATTAAAACTACAATTAACACTAAAATTATAGTGCCATTATAATAAATAATGTGCACTACTTACGAATAACTATAGCTGCAACGAATTTACAAATGACCTATGTTTTTGTTGCGCGAAATATTATAAAGGAAAAACCATTTTAATAGTTTCGAATTCGATCAGCTAACATAGCAAATTGATTTTGCCTATTTTTCTTTGTGTACGGACAGTAAACAATATAGGTAGCGAATAACTTGGGTAGGTTTACCATCATAACATACCTGGATTGGATTATTCTTTTAATATGAGGTATATCATTATCAGACTGATTAAATCGGTCTTGTGGTTCTTGCACAAAAAAACTTACTTCGCTTCATCTTACTTCGCTCATAAATCGAATAAAGATTAATAGGCCTAACCATAACGCCCACAAAGTTCCTTTAGATCAGTGTTTCCTAACCTTTTTTATGCCAGGCCCTACCTTAGCCTTTCTAATATTCTTATGCCGTCCCTATGTAACATTAATAATTTTTAATATTAAAAAATTGAATTGTTCAGTTAAGACACTTAAATGATAGATTTTAAGAAGAAACCTACAAGTGAAACAATAAAAACTAAACATAAGTGAAACACATCACACAATAATAAAACACATCAAATGAAAAACTGAAATTCAAAATCCAAATAATTTCTTTTAATTTAGTAAGATCCTTGCACTAGATGCGTGCTGTACAGAGATTTTATATTAGGTTCCAATTTGGTTAGCTTCAGTATCAAGTCTCCACATTGTATTATATCCAGCTGATTTTTTTTTACCAGTAAATCATTTACTAAATCTACATTCAGCTAAAAATGAAGATGGAAACGGTAGCAATAGTTTTCTTGCACATTTGGTTAAATTTGGTTTCTTTTTCCTCATAAAGCCATGCCATCACTTCTTTTATATTAAATAAAGTTTTAACTGACTCATCGTTTTTCAATTCTACTAATTCAGTGTATGCGTGTTCATTTTAATATAAAGTTAATTTTTTATTAAAATTTATACTGGGAAGCGGCAGTTTCCCAGTATAAATTTTAATTTGTCTGCCGCTGGGAAGCTTACTTGACGACGCCAATAATTTGTAAATAAAATATCAAAACTTTGAAGGCAGACTATATCATAGGCCATAATAATTTATAAGTCACGTTAGGTCCAGGAAAGTAACAGACACGTGCGGCGTTGCAAACGTCCAGTCCTATGAAAGCAACTGAGAAGAAAACACACATAACAGATCGTTGTAAACCGTTTATTGCTGTGATGTTTTATCAAGATACATTTTACATTCTGCTTTCTACCCTATTATTGGACTTTGGTGAGTAACGCTAAATAAAATTTGTTTTTAGAAATAAATAGACACAATGTCTTCATTAACATTCATAAATCCAACACCCGTTTTTTTCAAATGTTCATATTGTTTAAATTTAAAGATTTTTACGAACTGCACATGGATAAACACAGTTCTCAGGCATATATGTGTTGGACAGGGAAGTAAAGCACAGCCCAATGCGGTGAAACCACTTGCGTAGTTACTACGCTACTGGGCTTGCCAACTTTTAAGTAATATCCAACAATATTAATACATATAAATTTTATATCGATATGCAATTTGAGCATCGTCCTGAACAAGTTATACAATGACTATACTTATAATGACTACAATGACTGACTTCAGGATAAACTATATTTTTATTAAAGAAAAAACAGGTGAAATTAGCCTATATCTTTGAAGTTGAAATTCATAAATTAATAGTATTTAACTTTTTTTTATGTGAAAAGTTGCCAAACGAGCCGACGGTGAACCTGATGTTAAGTGAATACCATGGACATCTGCTACACCCGAGAGTTCCAGATTCGTTGACAACCTTGTGAAAATTGGGCCAGAGAGACCAGACGAAACGCGAAAGTATTATACTTCCACTTTACGCCGATCTTCTATGAGTTCGTGGTACTTACCCGGACGAGCCTGCCCATTCATGCAACAGCCACGGCTGCTACATGGCCCTACCACCGTAGAGTGTAACTAAATGTGCTAACAAGTTTTATAATCAAAATTTGACTATAAATAAGTGAGTGTAATGCTCCTATGTTGAATAAAGATATTTGAATTGAATTTGAATTTGTTTACAGCTCAAAGTCAGCTGGCGTTTACAAGGGTGCTGGGTGGTCGGCCGACAACAATAACGCAGTATCCGATATTGGCACAGCTGTTGTTGGACCCCTGGGGCACTCGTCAGTACAGCCAACACTGTGCCGGCGTAGTTCTGACTTCCAAACACGTCATCTCCACCGCTCATTGCTTTCAATACAATGAAAACACGGGAAGGAAGTTAGTATATGACCAATACGACACCAATACATGGTGGACCAAAACTTGTATTTACCATGACTTATACTCAGTGCCATAGTTTTTAAAGAGAGAGCTGAAGACAATAAAATCGGTTTAAGAGATTGTAAGTGATTACCGTCGTTGGATATACGTGATCAAAGAAGCATATGCGTTTTCCACGTTTAAAAGTGTGAACATCCGCCACCAAGACTTAATTAATATAAATTAAAGAGAGAGATTGGGACCTTTCCCCCGCTCTGCATAGCTCCGTCACAGTGTGTAAGTTCTTAGCAATTTATTCCATAAACTTAAAAAGTAAAATAATAACAGCCTATACAAGTCCCACTGCTGGGCAAAGGCCTTCACACTGGACTGCGCACTGGCAGACTTCACATACCTGTGAAATTTTTATTATTTCGAAAATATGCAGGTTGCCACAACAACCTTAAAAAATACTGTTGAATTGAGAACCTGTTCCGTTTTTGAAGTCTGTATAAATATAATGAAGTATAATCAAACTAATTATTTACAGCTACACCAAACCGCACTTCTGGAGGGTACGCGTAGGCTCTTCTTATCGAACCTATGGCGGAGTCCTGCACAAGATAAAAAGTATCATACCTCATCCTGCCTTTGATAAATATTACTACACTAACGACATAGCGGTTTTGGTAATGGCCACGCCCTTCACATTCAGCAAATTCGTTAGGCAGGGGACAATAACGAAACCTGGTGCCGAAATTGCACCTAATTCGCTGTGCACATTGGTAGGGTGGGGAGCAACAGAGGTGAGTTGATGCCAGTAAATATACTAATGTTGTTGTCTGACTCTTCAAAATGAAATCAAAATGTTGTAAAACATTTGCCTTTGTCTCTTCTTTCTCTTGCCCTGATCCCACCTTCGTTGGGTCGGCAAACATGTGAATCGTGTTGTTAATAGTTAGTTCTATCTAGCTATATCATTGGCTAGTCTTTTTACGGCCGGGCTACCTGCCTGTGTTACAACCCTACTTGGGAATAAACACCTGGATCCGGAACTATCATCTGTGAGGTACAAAAACATACGCTACGTGAGGGAATCGAACCTACGACAGCCGGAGCCGAGCTGAGCAACCCTTTATAAAATACATAAAATAAATTTAGGTAGGTATTTAAAAATATTTGCATTATTAAGCATATTAATCGATCTCCAGCAAGACGGGGCGCAAGCTGATCAGTTGCAGCATGTCACGATGAAGACGATAGATCAACGGGAATGCGGCATGAGGTACAACACTATTGGGGCGATCATAGCCGATTCGATGTTTTGCGCCGGCAGCATAGACGTGGATGGCATAGACGGATGTTACGGCGATTCCGGCGGGCCGCTGATATACAAAGGCGTGGTCGTCGGTTTGGTGTCCTTCGGCTACGGCTGCGGAATGCGCTACTATCCCGGGGTGTACACAAAAGTATCCCATTTTACCGATTGGATCGTCCAAATGGTCACTATGAATAAATAAATTTCGCATAAAGCTTTTTTTCATTAAACAACGAATTTCATAAGTAAGACAAGAGAAGTTGAAAGAATTCGGCACCGTTCAAAGAAATAAGATCGTCGTGTAAAATTACACGAAGGTAAAAAGTATAACATTTCGTAAAGAGAGCCGTGATAGCTCATTGTCCGGGCGATCACTTTTAATTCAATAGTACCTGGAGGACCGAGCTTTGCTAGGTTTTTTTTGGTAAATCGTGTATTTTGAAAATTAAAAAAATAAAAAATAAAGAAAGCAATGATCTGGTAAAAGTAAAAAAATAAGTGTGTAAATGATCGTGACACGAACCGCGGCCTTCTGTTTCGGGGCCGCTCGATTAAGGACTGCAAGCTATTGTAATATTTTTTTTGGGCGAAATTTACGAATATTCGAAAGATATGTTCAAAAATTGCTCGTTTAAAGATATTAGATACTCGAGCAATCTGAGTTCGATTCCCGGAGCCGGCACCAATGAAATTGTTAATTTTAAGTGCTTGTGACGTGCTAAGCGGCGAAGGAAAACATCGTGAGGAAACCTGCATATTTTCGAAAAAATAACAAAAAAAATAATTCGAGTTATATGAAGTCCACCAATCCGCAGTGGGCCGTGTGTTGGACTATGCCCTGATACTCTCTGTACAGAGGAGGCCTTTGCCCAGCAGTTGGAATTTTATAGGCTGTTACTTTAATTCACAACAATCTGCTTAGGCATGATTGGACCTTAGTGAAATGAAGTAAATTCGTAGTAGAGGGCAATAGGGAGTGATCCCGTTTTTCCACAGCTGAATGAAGGCGGATGCTGAATGCGATGATTTCTCAAATCAGAAGGCCTAAATTCGGCCCGTGAAGCCATTTAGCAACTTTATCAATCGAGTGATTATTCCAAAAAAATCGTACAGCTCTTATACATGACTGGCTGATTGATAAATTACGGTAGGAATATCTTAATTGCTTTCTCTAAGTTTCCACTATCGATCGCAATCAAAGTTTAGGTTCAAACCTCCATCCATCTGCGGGGCTATAGGATCTGTTGACCCCGAACGCACTCCAGATTCGTTTGGGGTCATGAAGATACAACAGAGCGGACGGCGCCATCGGGCACGTGCTACGTTATTCTCCTGACTCCACGGGTCATTTGCCTGCAGATCTCTTGGAACGAACAAAGCCCTGGGCTTATAACATATAACACTAATCGGTGTGGACTATATACTACAAATAAATAAAATGGTATAAATTGTTTTTTTTGCTAATAATTTTATTAATATGAAATCAATTTTTTTTGTTTCACAATATATAAGAAATAAACTAATCTACATTTCGTTACCGATATTTTGATGCATGTAAATGATTAACTTAATGTGAAAACTATCAAAATGTATCTTACTTGAATAAGTCAACTTTACAAAAATATTTCGACCAGATTATTACAAAATGTAAATCATCAGAATATTTATTATTTGTCGATGTCAAAATCGAATAAATCGATCATGAATCATCGTCCATCCCTATGTCCTGATCCCTGAATTGACAAATTGACGTAGGGATGCCGAAAGTGAAGAATATATCGATATTTATAAAAAAGATCAATATCGATATATCGAAAAAACGATATATCGATATATCGGTCAATTTTTCGGTTTTAAAAAAATGTATTTAATTTAGTTTGATTTAATAATAAGTATTAGTATTTTTCGAAGGGCTAAATATTGATTTGTTTGGCGATGGTGATAAAAATCTTTTGGAAATAAGAACGTTTGAAGAAACCAGACATACCTTGTTGAAAATAGACTAAGAAAAGAGTTTCAGCATCGATGAAATGGTTTAAGGTAGAAAGGAAAGACTACATCATCTCTCTTAAAATAGAACGACAAGTTAGTTGTACTCGCCTCTAGCTCTAAAGATTTGCTCACCATATCACAAAAGTAAAAAGATATTGATATTCTATATCCTATTGTTAAGCATTATGTTATATGGGAGGTATAGACTTGGTTGACATGCTGATCGCCTTGTACCATTTTTTCAGCAATTTTTTCACCAATTCTGATATTGCTGTGAATAATGCATGGCTGGTGAGACAACAGAAGGAAAGTACAGAAGAAAATAATAATGTTATAAACTTTTAAACTCTACATATACAAGGCCTTGACCTAGAAGGGGAAAAAACTAGATCAGGACTATGCAGCCCCGGATCTTCAATTTTTTTTGGGTGATATTTATTTTTACCTTTATCCTGTATACAGGGTGGCTTTTCTAAAGATGCCAATTTCACACAGGAGGTTTAGACTCGATAGTATAATCGTTTATTGAAATCAAAACAAACTTTTTTTTTTCAAAAAATTCCCACTATATTCCCCAAAAAACAAAACTTGTTGGCAATGCGGTAGTCATTCATAAATGCGTCCTATACTTTTGAAACGAACTTGTGTGCATGTTAGTTATGAATGATCACGCGTAAAATAAATGAGTTGCCCATAAACCACGCACTTTTTGACATAAGTTCAAATGAACATTTGTCTAGCATTATTTAGTCTAAAATTTATTTAAAAAAATGGATACACTTAGAAAAGCCTCCCTATATAATTTCAGCTATCAGATGTCCACTAATTGATTGACATTTGAAGAAAGCCTCCATAAACCTTCCGGACATTTGCTGTTTTTTTTGTCCGGAAAAAAGAAAACTTGTAAGTTTGATATAGTAACGTGGCAAACGCAAAAATTAAGTTTCAAATAAAGTTCACAAATTCTGTAAATCTGACAGTTTAAACTCTAAATCTTACATTTTAAAACTGTTAGTTTTACAGAAATGAAAAATATACTGTGACAATGCAATTTTTCAAACAATAATAACATTTTTGTTAAATAATATTTTTATGACTTATGCATTTTTTATGAAAACTTGATGTTATATTATAAATGCGACATTTGATTGAGAATTTGATTAAAATTAAATTTTGTTAACTTTAACTAAAGTGACTTTAGTTCATACCATTTATAAATTAGCTTAACATGTAGCACAATAAAATTTGTAGAAAAAGTACGAAAAGATTATCGCCGCTGTGGGAATCGAACTCACGTCTTCGGCATTCGCGGCCTGACGCTCTAGCCACTAAGCTTAACGGCTTATTGCCACACATACGAAAAATCTTAACGTCTTTTATCTACATTGTTCTTTAGCATTTGAAGCAATGCTTGGCGCATCCATTGTTATTATATCCTTTCCAGCATACATACAATTTCGAATATCGTTTTCAAAGATATTTCGAACGAGAGATGTCGCCAATGCTTTTAGAAATTTCAAATTTTTTGTTGTGCTAAATGTAGTACAATATTAATGATTTGTAACACCTCTATAACATGTTGTGCGTTAGATGGATATTATAAATTACGAAGCATGAAATTATAGTATAAATACCATAATTATAGTACAAAATCCAACACTGCATGCGCAATAATACTAGTTATAGACAACTGTTATAATTTCTCGTTCATTTTTATCTTTTACGGCTTTGAATTTGTTAATATTCAGCAGAATAAACGATGGCACTCGGGGACTGCTGCGGTAAAGCTATTGCATTGCATTTTTTATCAACTTATGCAATTATAATTCTTTATTTATTTTTTATTTATGCAGTTTTTTTGTTATTAATTCAAGTTACATTTTTTGAGCGTGATGACCGATTAGAAAACATTTTTTTTTTCTTTTATTGAATAAATGAGAAGTTAATATCATTTAAAATGTTTTTATTATCTTACAATACATGTAGATTATTTAGGAATTTTTATCATTGAAACTATAGGTTTATGATACCTACCTGAAATAAGAAACATAAGTTTGAGACTTGATATCCTCTAAATATCATAATATCATCATATGATAATATAATATTATAATATCCATCCGTGCGAGCTTCGTACAGTCCTACCATATACACACACTTTAAGCCAACGCCCGGCCGAGGTACATGATAGGCGGAGCGTGGGGGTGTTAGGTTTTATTTTCGTTGCGGAATTTCTTGATTCGGTCGCCGCGCTCAAAAGCCGCGGTAAAAGCTATGCAATAGCTTAAAAATACAAATTTTAAAAATGCATCGCGCATTTTATTTTCAGATGACATCCTTACTCCTTATCATGATGAGACTCTAGAAAACCTCCGTCAATAGCATCCATCGATCAATCTTCCGCCGTTCCTACCGCTGCCTCCCGATTCTTCATATCAGGCATTGCAAATTACCGATAAGGACACTTTAAATTATGTCATTTTCTAGTGGCTCTGCCGGCGGCATTGACGGTATATTGCCACAACATCTTAAAGATCTTGTAAGCCCTTCTGCTGTCAAAGCGCTTCTTAATGATAGTACAAAATTATGCAAGTAAATTGTCGTTTGTGAAAAAATGTTTTCTTTTTCTTTTTTTACACCTTTCTGTGCACCTACCGAATCTTCTCTGTACCACCCCAAGGTTGACTGGGAGATAATGCCTGTAGCATTAAATCCGCCTCTATACAGTTTGTGCATAAAGTATAAATAAATAAATCTATATTATAAAGAGGAAAGATTTGATTGTTTGTATGTATTGAATAGGCTCCGAAACTACTGAACCGATTTGAAAAATCGGTTCAGCAGTTTTCGGAGGCTTTCTTTCACTATTGGGAAGCTACATTATTCCCGCTTGATATAGGCTATATTATATTTTCAAAAAAATAGGGATCCTTACTAAAACTTCAATAATGTAACCCAAAGTGTAAAAAATTACCTAAAATATTATATACATCGCGTGCGCTGCGAAAACTATTGATGATAGAATAAAATAATGTACTATGAATTTGCAGAACACATCATTATTTCCAAAAAGTGTCGCGAGAGCATATGTCTAACTATTATAGTCATGCCACAATAAGTGTTCTTTTATTTTAAAATTTTGATTGAAATGCCGCCGCCAGAAAAGACACTTTATTGGTATCTTGGTATTAATTCTTATAAAAATAAATTACTTCATATTAAAGACTGTTTCAATAGCTTTATATTACTTTTCGAATTATTAAATTCGGACATTCCATTCGAAAGATATCACAAGTTTAAAAATGTTAGTATATTGTAATTTAACTATCCAAACAGCTTAGTGACTGACTTAATGGTTCTTATAATTTTTCAATCACATTTATACTGGTAATTCCTGTTTAACAGCTAGCAAATATTTAAGTACAAAGGCAGTTTAATTTTTTTTATCATTTTAAAATGGCCAAAAGATCAAGATCTCATCTTTTTAGAAATAGTTTCCAGGCGAGGGCATCAAAAATACGCCGTAATGAAGAATCTTTACCGGAAAGTGTAAATCGTCTTACAAGTCGGAGAGAGTCAAGTACAGTGGCTTAAACAGCAAAATAATATAAATGTACAAATTCACACTCGGGAATCGAGCTCTGGGCGTTCTCAACGCCTACGAGATATGAGAGAAAGACAACAAACGTCAACGACTAGAGTTCGTAATCGACTTTTAGCTCACAGTAACAGATCAGCATTAATGCATTAAGATCAACAGTCTTCCGTCCAAATCGGAGCAATGAATAAGATCTGCTGTAAGTGTTGTGCCAAAATATGGGTCGATGAACCAAAAACCAAAAACGGTATGTGCTGTGCTTCTGGAAAAGTTAGTCTCCCCAATATTGAGGAGCACAGCCAATAAAAATCTTTTGACAAATAATCAATTACCATCTGGACATTTTTAACCAACATCCGAAAGTGCAATAGTCCTTTTCAAATGACTTCGTTTGACGCGAACTTTTAAAATAGAGGGACAAGTATACAAGTATCATCAATATACAACAATCATCATCCTCCTGCCTCCTAGGTGGGTTCGGCACAACATGAATTATGCTGTTAGCGGTTTTGGCTATATTTTTACAACGAGCCGCCTGCCTGACGTCAACCCTCCTTGGAAAACAAATACCCAGATCAAATTTCAACTGTGTAACTATCACGGTTCATGAGATACAGCCTGTTGACAGAGGGACAAACAGACAGCGGAGTCTTAGTAATAGGGTCCCGTTTTACCCTTTGGGTACGGAATCCTAAATGGCCCCAGAGGTATAGTGTTTCACGGTAGACACGTCCAACTTAAAAGGGTCTCTGAGTTACACAGATTGTATGATCCACTAAAATATTCCTTAATCGTCGTAATAGGAGAAGGTTAATATTTGACTATTCCTCGGCAAGGTACTGTGCGTAACAAAACTGTGACATGCATTGAATTTTATGCATTTAGGTTGATGGTTAGAGCTACCTGTTCTAATCCATTGCATTATTACTGGGACTTATTAGGGTTCCGTACCTAAAGGGCAAAATCGCACCCTATTACTAAGACTCCGCTGACTGTCTGTATGTCCGTATGTCTGTCCATATGTCACCAGGCTGTATCTCATGAACCGTGATAGTTAGACAGTGTAAATTTTCACAAACGATGTATTTCTGTTGCCACTATAACAATAAATACTAAAAAACAAAAGCGGGGCTCCCATAAAACAGACATGATTTTTTTGTCGTTCTTATAGATAATGTTTACAGTAGTAGTGTATTTGACAATATGTAAGTGTAATACTTCTATACTTCTATTGAATAAAGGTATTAAAACATGATTTTTTAATGTGATAGAGTGGCAAACGAGCTGCCGGTTCCTCTGATGTTGAGTGATAACAACTGTGTTGCCAACAATAAAGAAGTGGGCACCGGTTACCTCTCTCACCAGACGAAACGTAGAAGTATAACATTTTTATTTTACGCCGGTCTTCTGTGAGGTCGGTACGGAACCCTTAGTGTGCGAGTCCGACTCGCACTTGGCCGGTTTTTATTCAATACATTGTCGATATGATGGTAAAAAGATTTCAGAAAGATTGAATTACATAATTATGATGTCGTGATCACCAGAGACTGAGGGCTGGTGAAACATTCATCTTAGAGACGCCTTCATCAAATCAAGACATTGGCCCATCAAATATCGGTCAACGCGTAATCTGCAACGTCATATTCATTTACGGGTTCTCCGAGTTATCTGCATTAAAAAACCAAAGATGCGATGATTTATGTCCGAAGCTATGGGAGACCAGACTTATTTGTCACTTTTACGTGGAACCCCGAATGTCCCGTAATTAAAGCGGAACCATTAACTGGTCTGCGGTCTTTCGATCTTCATGACGTAATTTCAAGGGTATTTCATTAAAAGATGAAGAAATTCATAAAATTATTCACCAAGGACGAAATATTCGTAAGGTTTTATGTGTGTGTATGATAACTTTTTGTTAAATACCCGTGCGAAGCCGGGGCGGGCCGCTAGTAAATAAATAAATTCTAAATTCTCTTCTAATACGGTGGTAGGACCACGCAGCAGCCTGAGCTGTTGCACGAACGGGCAGGCTCGTCCGGGTAAGTGCAACGACCTCATAAAATACCGGCGTAAAGTGGAAGTATAAAATTTTCGCGTTTCGTCTGGAAAGTGAAGTGGCCGGACCGCAATTTTCAAAAGGTTGTCAACGCATCTGCAACCCTCGGGTGTAGCAGATGTCCGTGGGCGGCGGTATTCACTTAACATCAGGTGAACCGTCTGCTTGCTTGGCAACTATTCACATAAAAAAATCTAAATTTTTTGTACGGGGCAAGATTATGTGCCTTTAAGAAAAAGATAATGGTATCCGTCCTTTGTTATACTAGCTGCAGCCAGCGGCTGAGGGCGTAGCATTAAGCCAGAAAGACTATGTCTTTCTGGCTTAATGTTAAGACTATGTCTTTCTGGCTTAATGTTACATAAAAATATTTATATAAATTATAGGCTATGTCTTATTCCGATGTTTAAGCTATTGTTACAATCCACTGGCAACTTATTAACTGTATTAGTAATTTAATAAATGCATTGATTTGTAATGTAGTTGTGATGACTCATTATATTTTTTTATATAAGCGCATAATGTTTCAGTGATACTGTAGAACACTTTATCCTTTGTATAGGACGTTACTCTGTCCTAATAAGTAAGAAGTAGTCTAATTAATATATAAAGTTGTTTACGCTATCCTCACTATTTCATTTTGGCCGACCAACCTACAGTCCTTAATACTATATTAGTATTTGCGTGAAGGAATAACAAACATCCATCGATACATAAAAAACTTTCGCCTTTATAATATTAGTAAGGATGGTATCCATCCTAAAACCAGCGCTGTAGTCTCGTATCGACTACAGCAATAATAGTTAAACGCACGCATGAGCACATGCGTGGCCCTTCCCACAGCGGAGGGCCCAAACCCGTGGGTTCTGACTAGCCCACCGGTTCTGCGTCAGATGAAGCTTTACTAGTCTCGGGACTGAAAGCAAAAACACAGAGATACAAGATAGAGAAGAGATACAAGATACAAGCGACTACAACATTAAGCTGAGTGTGATCTGTTAGCCGTATACACCACACACAAGTGTGTGTGTAAAATGTGTGATGTGTTTAATAATTTTTTTTTCTTCTTTTTTTTCTCTTTTAACTATGTATTTTTTATTTTATGGTTTAAATATACATGTGGCGTATTTGTGCAATGAATGTTTTCTTTCTTTCTTTCTTTTTTTTTCTATTGCTATTGGTTCTACCTTTCAAAGCTCTACTTCAAAATTAGAATGTAGGCACATAATCTCCGGCCTTTAAACAAATTTCCCCATGTTCAACTCTGCTTTGGAAGCAAAGGTCGCTGTGAAGCGGCTGGACATTCCGTTCGAACTTCTTTAAATACTTTCTTGTATTTACGCGATTACACATTATAAATGAAACTATTTTTTACGGATTTATCGCGTTTTATTTTTCAATTTTAATTCCCGACGTTTCGAACCCTTTACAGCGTTCATGGTCACGGGACGTGGGAAAATCTTTGTTTCAGAGAGCACAAGGGATCTGTGACAAAAACACCTGGCCGCTGAGCTTCAACATGTTAAGCAAGTTCTGCATGACAACAAGCTTCGAGCACCGCGCCTACGTCACAGTGACCGAGTGAAACCGGCCACAGTGGAGCGAGTACCTGCTGTTCTACCATACGTCAGAGGAGTCACCGACAAGATTGGCTATATCTTAAAGCAGGCTTCAATTAATACATTCTACAAGCCGCTGAAGAAGATTAGTCAGTTTTTACCATCTGTCAAGTGTTAATATCCCTCTGCAAGATTCAGGAGTGTACAAACTTGACTGTGAATGTGGGCTCTCTTACATAGGACAAACAAAAAGAGCAATAAAAACCCGCGTGAAAGAACATATAGCTGACATAAAACACGATAGATTGAACAAGTCTGCAGTTTGTGAGCACATTTTAAATAGGCCCAACCACTACATAAGGTTTGATAAACCACAGATCCTTGCAAAAGAACACCGATTCCTCCCAAGGATGATTCGCGAGGCTATTGAAATTAAAAAACACCCTAATTTCAATAGAGAAGAGGGTTGGGTACTACCATCAGCTTAGGATTCTGTCATAAATAAAATTAAATCTAGGCCCAAACGAACCACTACTGCAAGACAAGATACAATTAGCTCCCTCTGCATAGATCGGACACAAAATTAATAATTCAAAAACTGACGGTAGCCCGGGCTAACTATGACAATCAGACGTCTAACACCTCAGTTCTGTCCCGTGACCATGAACGCTGTAAAGGGTTCGAAACGTCGGGAATTAAAATTAAAAATAAAACGCGATAAATCCGTAAAAATTCGTTTCATTCTTTAAATACTAGTGATTTGGATGTACTTCTGAAGTTTGACCTAAGCAATGCTTTTAACTCCATTGATAAAACGACTCTGCTGAACGAAGTGGCATTATTAGTACTCATATTCATATTATATATATATATATATATATATATATATATATATATATATCATTATGTTTGGCAAAGTTACAGTGAAAAGAGTAATTTATTTAATGAAGACAATATTATTGATTCTTAACGGTGGTAGGGCCACGCAGCAGCCTCGGCTGTTGCACGAATGGGCAGGCCCGTCCGGGTAAGTACCACGATCTCACAGAAGACCAGCGTAAAGTGGAAGAACGATAAATATTTTCGCGTTTCGTCTGGTGAGTGAGGTAGCCGGAGCCCAATTTTTAAAAGGTTGTCAACGAAATTTATTCAATTATTTCAAAATTGAAATCTAAACTTAGTGTCCGGTACCTTTTTTTTTACGATGGGAAATGCATCATGCATACTCTCCTGCGGGGGAAGCAAGAAGAGTTATGTTGGACTCCCACCCTAAAAAGGGCAGACCTACCAACTAAAACCCATCGGGCGTCCTCCTCTGCCGTCAAGTGCTGAGTTGCAGGGCCCGCTAAAGCGATTCTGCTGCAACCCAGCCACGGCTACCCCGACCCTCCACGGCCGGGGCACATCACGAAAGGACTTTTGTCCCCGTCCTCCGCATGAGCGCTCATGACACCAGTGGGCACTTTGCCTTCGCGGGGCCTCATACCGTTAGGTGACAGGCATCCCCACGTCTGTCACCCGGAGGCCCATTAGGGCGGGAGACGGCGCTCGTGAGCCGCCCGCCTTCTCCCCATGCTACGTCGCCGGATCGGGTCGGAAGAAGCATCCTCCTCCCTCTCCCTTTCGGCGGCCTCCTTCTGTGAGATGACTGTCTCGCAGAAGGAGGCCATCGCCTCCCACGCCGCCCTGCTGTCAACCATTGCTCTTACGATGGCCGGCAGCGAGAGATCCGACCCGACGACGTCACGGAGCCGCCTTCGCGGCTCCTCCCATGCCGGGCATTCCATCACCGTGTGCTGCGCCGTATCGTCGGCGCAGGTACAATGGTGGCACCTTTGGCTCGGTTCCCTCCCGATTGCGTGCAGGTAATGACCGAAGCATCCATGCCCAGTCATCACCTGCACCATCCGGAATGACAAACTGCCATTTCGGGAACCGATCCACTTCTCCAGAACAGGCCTGATGGCCTCTGCCACTCTATTTCCGGCGGTGGGAGCCGCCAAACGCTCCTGCCAGGTGCGCATCAAAATGACGCGCGCCTGGCGTCGCCATCTTGCGATACGTCCGGTGGAAACGACATCGCCGCACCCCTTTGCCTCAGCGACTCGGCGATAGACTTCCGCGAGGACTTTAGCCTCTAAGTCCCATGGTGGGGATCCCGCCAGAGCACTAGCCGCCTCGCCGGCTACTGTGCGGTAGCCACGTATAGCCCTGAGTGCCATAGCGCGCTGCGGTCGTCGCAGCAATGCTCTGTTCGGGGCACTCAAGGCATCCACCCACACAGGAGCTCCGTAGAGGGCCATCGATCTGATGACCCCCATGTACAGGCGGCAGCAGACCGACCCTGGTCCCCCCACATTAGGCAAAAGGCGTCCAAGAGCAGCGGATGCCTTCACGAGCTTCGGCATCAGCCGGCGAAAGTGGGCGGTGAACGTCCATCGTCCGTCTAGGACGAGTCCGAGATACTTCATCTCGGACTCGACCCGGACCTCCACTTCTCCGATGCGGAGTAGTGTGCCCGCAGCCAGCCTCCTTCGAGGTCCATGGAAAAATAGGGCCTCGGTTTTCTCAAGGGCCACCCGAAGGCCCTGAGCTCTGATGCGGGACACCACTAGTTCCACACCGATCACCGCCAGCTGAGTCGCCTCCTGATGCGTCGCGCCGCGGGCAAGAACGAGAGTGTTGTCAGCATAGCAAACAACACGAAGCCCGCGCAGCAAGGCACCACGGAGTACCCTGTCGTAGCCGATGTTCCACAGGAGTGGGCCAAGGACCGATCCCTGCGGAACACCGCACCACGTTTATCTCTGTACGAGGATGCCATCGCGCCCCACACACATAACGCTCCTACCCCGTAGGTACGCCGCAATAAATGCACATAGGTACCGGGGGAGTCGATGGTATCGGAGGCCCTCCTCGATGGTAGCGAACGGCAGGGTATTGAATGCGTTCACGATGTCAAGAGACACTGCCAACACCACGTTACCGTTCGCCGCCTGTTCTTCCACATACCCCTTGACACACAATATGGCGTCTATTGTGAAGCGCGATGGTCGGAACCCGTACTGGGCATCCGACAGGTCAGGCCTCTCACGCATCATATGACGTATGATGCGCGAGGCGACCACCCTCTCCATCAGCTTACCGGCCTCGTCCAGCAGGATGATCGGCCGGTAAGCCGAGGGCGATTCTTCAGGGCGACCCTCCTGACGAAGGTGAACAACCCTGCCCGCCTTCAAACACTGCGGGAACTCTCCACGCCGCAGACAAGCGGTGAAGAGTTTCTTCAAGCGTTCCTCTAGGGGCCCCAAGGCCAAGACCAGGGCCCTGCCGGGCACACCATCGGGACCAGGGGCCGTTTTGCGCCCACCAAACCGCAGGAGTGCGGCTCCCATCTCACCCTCGGATACCAGAGGCACCTCCTCGGTGGTTTCTGGCATCGCTGGGATAACGCCATTTGGGGCCGGGAACAAAGCCTCCAGCACCGTGGCCAGCCGTTCTGGTGGAATGGATTCAGCAGGCGGCGGACCCTGACCAAGCTTGCCCCTGGTTGCCCGGTATAGACGACCCCAGGGATCGCGGTCCAAGCCCGCGAGGAGCTCACCCCAGGCAGTGTTCTTGGCCCTCAGGATGGCCAGATGCAGAGATTTTTTGGCGTCGTTATACGCCCTCTGTAGCTAGTCATTCAATTCATCGTTCCGAGGTCGACGCCGTCGCTGTCGTTGGAACTTCCGGCGGGCGGCGACACAGCATCGCCGAAGATCCGCAATGTCAGGCGACCACCAGTACACCTGCCTCTTTTGAGGTCTTTGCCGCACGCGGACCATGCAGGCATCGCAGACCCTGGTGAGAACATCACTGTACGTAACCCCCTTTTCGACGGCATCGTGCTGTAGTGTGATTACTACAGCTGCCGTCGTGGGGGCACGTACTTTGCGGCCTCTACGCCTCCGTTTCTTTTTATTAGCGGTGGCTGGCTTCACGGCGGCCACAGCGGGTCTTAATGCCGTAGCGGCCATGGGCGCCGCAGTGGATCTCGTGGCAATCGATGGGGGCCTCGGCACCGTAGTAGGTTTCGCGGCGACCGCAGGTGGCTTAGGCGTTGTGACGGGTTTAGCCACAGACTTCTTTGACTTGGCGGCAATGGATGCCGACATCTGCACAT